GTATATGTAGATCATATTGGTAGATTACGAGGRCCTAACTTGAGTATTATCAATTAAGTATATTACATTTTGTTTTTMTTGTAATATTGTCGTTATCTTCATCAATAGAAGTTTGTAAAGGATGCAATACCATTGCTATGATATCATCGTATAGCTGCGGTAAACCAGTCGATATGAATAATGCAAGAAGATTGWAATGTTATCGCAATAATCATCATCTAGACTCCTCGCGCCAGTAGGYCCATAAGRCYTCCACACCCTCCCCCCTCCAGCCATCTCGTCGCTATAATACGTCAATTATAATTGTTTCCATTCATTTCTGTTCAGTGGAGGCTGAAGTTTYAGTTCAACATGGCGTATTTCTCTCCTCTTTTTTACCACTTTTTAACTTTTCCATTGGACTAACGCTRCRATGYCGTGGATGGCGTCCYTCKGTCGACTCGTCTCTCCGACTAAATCCCAGTCCACTGACGARCACACTCCACTGGCTTCTCACTTCTTTGATTCTGRCGCAGTGAAAGAARAAGATGAAGAARCCTTGTAACGAGTTGAAAATACAGAACARRTACTCAAAGACGATTCTTGCATCAGAGATWGCTAGAGCACCAAACAGCCAYGTTAGACCCAGTAGACACATGATGGCAAGGGCYGTCCAACACTGTTTCTTAGTGTTATAAGCGTGTTTATTGTAAGTAGCTGTCAKTGAGTTTGTCAGRTGATGCAGGACTCTAATGAAGACAACAACGTTGAAGAGAAGTATAGAAAGGATTGGAACAAACCAGGCAATAATGTTGTACACATAGCTATGGAGGACGCACCTGGAATAAGGAAACTGTCAGTGATAATCTATGTATTCTAAGGTGAATCTGTAGTTATAGCTGGTCAGTTGATTTTTTTACTTACGCATGCACAYTGCCATATTTAAATGTTTTCTTTGCGTTGATGTCTTCATTGTAMTCSACGACTGCAGAGATGACTGTAGCGAGTACAATAAGGAGTGGTACACCCCAGCCCACTAACGCAGCCTTCAWCATGAATCGATTATGAAATGTACCCAAGACTTTAACAATCCCCAGGTACAGATTATATGCCTCGATACCCATCCATAGC